GAAGTAACAAAGCGAATTGGGTTTGTGTGGTGCATTGCGGTAAGGTGGGTTTTGGGTGGGGTGAACTGGTTGGGCGAAATTTTCGAAATTAGTGCAGCAACAAAAACAAGTTGCGACAATTCGAATCCCAACTGTGAAACGGGAAATGTCGCGAAATGTCACAGCACTGTAATGAGTCAGGTCTAAGGATGGTCCCTCGAACTCGAACTAGTTCGACGTTCGAGGCAAACACTTAGGGGTTCGTAGCAAACCTTAAGTGTTCGCCTGTGACCACGAACACACTAACACCTGTTTTGAGAAAAGGCGTTCGTGGCAAACCGAACGGATTCGGTGCGCCTATGGTAAGTGTTCGTTGGGGTCCGTGGCAAACACGTTCGAGCTCGCAATTTGCTCATGTCTATGTGTATGTGTGTGTCTGGAGGTGATAATGACTGTCTTCTTCCACGCTGCTGCACCTCGCCTCCTCCCTCGCCACCTGGCACTGCTCTTATGGCTGCTTTGGCCCTGCCCGCCTCGTGCTCTTCCACGACGGCATGCTCCGCACACAGGTGGGCTGCCTGCTTCTTTGGGGATTGCTGTGTGCAGGGGGGATATGTGTGCTGGCTTTGGCCCCGCCAGGCTTATGCTGCAGTATCCACCTCCCCTCCACACCATCTTACAAAGTTCCCCCTCTCACTCCCCCTACTCTTCTCCCCTTCCCCCCCGTCTCTGTCTCCCTTTTCCCTTCCCTCCGCTCCACTGGCACCCCATGCCACAGATATCAGCGTGGGCCAGCAACCTGCTCAAGGCAGTGCTGGGGCCGGGAGCAGCGCCGCCGTTCAAGCCACCAGATGGGGTGACGCCGCAGTGCTTGGAGAACGCAGTGGTGCTGCGGCAGCGGGACACCTTCAACGCCGATGAGTGCAGCAGCGACGCTCAAGAGCTGCGCCGGATTGTCCGTGCCTTCTGCCAGTGAGTGGCGCTTTGAAGAGTGCTGGAGTACTCTGCTTGTGAGTCACACCTTGATGAGTGTGTGTGTGTGCTTGAATTGAGTCGACTCAAAGCAATGTCTGAACACGCGGTGGTGCTGCAGCAGCGGGACACCTTCAACGCCGATGAGTGCAGCATCGTGCGAGCGAGGCTTCTGCCAGTGAGTCTCTGCTCGTGAGTGGCGTTTTGAGCAGAGAGTTGAGGGGCTTCACTCACCCATGATCTCAAACCTCAAACCATTTCCTCTTTTGCCCCCCGTGATCTCAATCTTCACAACAACTCATAGGAGAGACCGTTTTTACCCCCCACAGCACGCGAGTGCCAGCAATGCCAGCAGCGGAGGACCCCCCCGGGCTGCTGGGCGAGGAGGGCATGGACGTGCGCATAGCGTTTGCGGGCGACGCGGACAACTGGGCGCGCATGGCGTGGTTCAACTTCTCCCTGGCCGCCACGTGGATCCGCCAGGAGTGTGCCGTCTTCTCCCTCACCTGCCAGGTCGCCACCGTGCCACGCGGGGAGTTCTGCCGCGTCAAGGTCAGCGCCTCTGCCTGTGCCTGGGGGTCAAGTGTGAAGGGAGGGGCAGGCAGAGAAACACATGGAGTGTCTGTGACAGACCACTGTGCTGCGCTGGGGGCAGGTGTGCTGCGCTGGGGGCAGGTGTGCGGCACGAGTGAAGACCAGTCACGGCTGTTGCCGTCCCGTCCTGCCCTCTCTCTCACCTCCTCTCTGTCAAGTCCCTGTTCATCTCACAGCTCTTACCCATTCTTCTGTTCCCCTGGTGCAACTCACTCTCCACAGGTTTTGGGCCTGGGCCGAGCGGACATCGTGATTGGTCCGTGGGGAGACCGGGCACTGGACAACATAATATTCTTGCTGCCCGGAACGGCAGTGTTGGAGCTGTACCCATCGAACGCGCATGAGGACGACCGCAAGACGGCCAAGCTCGAGGCCGAGTGCCTTGACCTCGCTTATGAGCAGGTGGGGGGTTGTGGGCAGGTGGGGAATGGTGAGCAGGTGGGGAATGGTGAGCAGGTGGGGAATGGTGAGCAGGTGGGGAATGGTGAGCAGGTGGGGAATGGTGAGTAGGTGGGGAATGGTGAGCAGGTGGGGAATGGTGAGCAGGTGGGGTGATTCGTCTGAACAGGTGAATTGAAATGACATGACGCTCCTTGTCATCTCATCCCCTTCCCCCTTCCCCCTTCGCCCTTCGCAGATGCGCATGGATGTGACCATGATTGATGTGCAGTCGTGGGTGAGCAAGCACCTGGAGGCGCATGACCCTCACACCACACTCCCTGCTATCCCATCCCTGCCCCCCATTCCCCCACCTGCACGCACACATGCATGCATGAGCCCTCACACCACACTCCTGACTTCCCCTTCTTTCTCCCTCAGATGCGCATGGACGTGGCGATGAAGGACGTGCTGTCGTGGGTGAGCAAGCACCTGGAGACGCTGGGGCGGCGGCAGAAGGGAGGCGCAGAGGAGGGCGACCCCACCTTCCTTGAGACCTGCGTTCACCGCACCCTGCGCTACTGAGTGGGCGAGATGAGGGAGAAGGGGGAGAAGAGGGAGAAGAGGGAAATCGAAGGGGGGGAAAGTGTCAGAAACACGAAGTGATGAACTATGAGAACATTGGAGTACAAGTATGAAACCCTAGAATTGTGTACCCCCTAAAGCAGGCCTCTGGATAGGATTGGAAGTACTCTTAGTCGAAAGGGCAGTTTGCCGAACCTGGTCTTTCAGTAAGGGTGGGGCAGCCATGTCAATCTTCTTTATCAGTGTTGGCTGCAGTGTTACTCTTGCTCGTCAGTGTGCTGTGGTTTCGGTTAGTTGTACCGATTTTTTTTTGCCAACATGTAATGTACGATACAATCATACAATACTACATGACTAGACCTAAAACAGCAGGACCTACAAATGGGATGGTCTGGCCTGGCCCGGTCTCAGCAGAATGCTCCTAGCAAGGGAGCAGAGCAGCACAAGTCAATACAGGAACTCCTGGGCAGGACGGCGCTTCTTGCTAGCATTGAACACAGCTACCATATTCACCCAGTTCAGACCATCACTGGGCAGGAGTGCTGCAGTCATCAGATCGCCCAGTTTGGCGTCGCCCAGGCAGGTCCGTTTCCACGTCTTGATACGGTTCTGGCGACTGAAGCCACGCTCGCAGTCCACCGTGCTGAGTGGGAGCACAGCTACGGCCTGCCACAGCTGCACAAGGTTCGGGTAAGCTCCCATGTAGTCAGTTGACTGGAGCATGAGCGCGAGCGACTTATGGAAGCTCATGTTGCCGTGGTTGGTATCCATGGTGTGGAGAAACAACGGTAGCTCCCTCTCGCACGCCTTGAAGCACACACCTGACAAGATGGGAGAGCAGAGCAGTGAGAGGGGAGATCGGGGCGTATGGGAGGTGTTTAACAGCACACCAAGGTACACACACACTTAGAGCAGACAGCACATTGCAGGCGCAACCAGGTGGCGTACCAAAGAGGCGGTGGTGAAACATGTGGTCTAGCATGCTCAACCACTCGCGACACTTCTTCATCCGCTGCGCGTTGTCGTCGGGATAGCACGACGGCCGGAAAAGCTTGGAGCCGGCCAGGTCCTTGAGGTCTTCCAGGCGGAACTCCAGTCGCGCAACGCAGACCTTCGCAAACTCCTGGCACAGCGCCTTGCAAGAGTAGTAGTCGCCGCCAGTCTTATGGCCTGGGATCTTGCGCTCGTGAAGCTCGAACTTGTGCTCTGCAGCGTCGCCGTTCTGGTCCACACCTTTGACGGTGACTTCGCGGTGCTCGGGGTTGCCGTGTTTCTTCAGGAACGCGCAGAGCAGGGGCGACTGATCGTTGCCGAAACGATCCTCGCAGTCCACGTAACGCACCTCGATCGTCCTGCAAGCGAGCGACACCTCCCCCGCGACCACCGTGATGTCAACCTGTGAGTGGGGTGGGATGAATAGGTGCTGCTAGAGGTTGATGTACAATGGGTCAGAAAGGGCACACAACAACCGCCACTTACAACAATCGGGAACAAGGCTGGGAAACAACCGCAAACATGTACAACCAAAACACTCCACATGTCACCTGCTGCTTCTGGAACTTGGTGTTGAGCTCGTTGAGCACGGCAAGAATGTCTGCCAGGAAGAAAAGCATGAAGTGGAATTCGAAAGAGGTGACGACTTCATAGAGCGCGTGCTTGAAGTCGTGCAGCAGGACGATCGTCGCCGGCAGAACCTTGGCGAACTGCTTGACTGCCTCTCCTCTAGAGAGCCATCGCACGTCGTGGATCCCCTGCAGCTCCAAGTTGGTTTCGCAGATGTACTCCTGAAGATGCTCAATCGCCGGTGCCAGTTGCTCGACCTCGAAAGTTGCTCCGCCACGTTGCGCACCGCCTGGTCTATGATGTTGAACTCCGTCACCTTATCAGCGGCATCCTTCGCGGCCAACGCCTCCCTGCTCAAGGTAGAACAGAGAAAACGAGAGATTGAAGTGAGTGGGCAGTACATGATCAACGCAACACACCTGCCTTAAAGCCAGTAACACAGACGGACTTACCGATGTGCGATGCAGTGGCACGACACGAGATAGGGATTCCGCAGCCGGAGTCGTGCCACAACACCATTGCTGGTGCCCGTCATGACTCTGGCACCGTCGGTGCTGATTCCAACGATCTTGGACATGTCAATGCCCACGGCGGCAAGGTGGGTCAGAAGCACGTCAACGAGACTTGCTGCGTCACATTTGTCAACTGTCAGCAGCGAGAAGTACTCACAGACGCTCGCTCTATCCTTCATGAAAGTCACGTAGACGATCAGGTGCTTGCCGCGCGCCTTGTTTGTACTCTCATCGAGCTGAATGGAGATGTACGGGCTCGCCTCGATCTGCTTCAGTTGCTCTTGCCGCATGTACTTCGCGGCAGCATCTAGTAGCTCCCCGAAACCGTACCTGCATGATACAAGCACAGAGGTTAGCACGTTGCCAATCAATTCGATTGTAACGAAGCAAGTACAACGACAGCTCGTACCCCGAAACTTACTCGGAAAAGTAGTTTCCCTTGGAATCCAAGGGAAGGTTCGGGACTTCGAGCTCGGCCATGAACTTGATGGTGCCCACGTAGGAGGTGATTGGCGCCTCCGATTTGCAGATGTGCACAGTAGTCTTGAGAGCGGTGATGATGTGCAGCGTGCTGCGCTCCAACCCCTCGAACTCGCTCAGCAGCGTTTGACGAAGCTTCTGGCTCTCCTTCGACTTCATCTCGGCGTGTGAGTCCTGATGTGCGGTGGAGCGCTGGTGCGTCCGGATGCTCCCCTTCTGCATGTCACGCCCTCCACTGCCTCCCTTACCATAAGCCGTTTTCGCGCCTTCAGCTCCATGTTCCAAGCACGTGCTGCATCTCAAAATGGGGAAGCCAATGTCATCACGAGTTAAAATTAGCCACGGAAACAAAGATTCCCATGACGTCTTAAATCGCTTATGCGCTTTAGCGAAAGCGACTTCGGGGTAACGGGCCATCTCTTCGACAGTCGGCAGGCCGTCTTCATCCTCCTCGTCATCACTCCCCTCGTCCTCCACTCGTCGGATTGGAAGTGCCGCCCGCTTCAGAGAGGGCTTCGGTTGTCGCCACCACTGCGTAGCACTGCCACCTCTTGACTCTTTGCGCTTCTTGTTCGCAGAGTCGCCAGCCGCATCGCCTATCTCCGTTTCAGGAGCCGTCGATTCTGGAGGTGAAGGTTCCGCCGTGGTAGTGCAAACTTCAGGTGAGCGCAGGTCACGCCCCGATTCATCCACGCGGGTTTCATCCTCGGTAGATGCAACTACGGGAACCGGATCTGACAGCTTCTTACCGAGGGTTCGTAGAAAGCTGAGGCCCGTTCGAGGGGGTGATTTTTGGAGTTGATGACTTGCCTCGTCGTCACCATCAGTGGTTTCGTCAGCAGCCATGGCGAAGGCCAGAGGGGTGGATGCAGGAGCGGGGCCTACTCTAGCTGTATGAGAGCGTGGTGGTGGGGTGGTTTGCAAACCCTTGACTAGACGAGATAGCGAGGAGGCAGAATTGAGAAATGAAACGAGGAGGACTGAGTTGGGTGCGTGGGAGAGACTGGTCGGTGGGTGGGGGCGTGCTGAGGAGGGAAGAAGATGCTTCCAAGCAGGACACACCTCCTGCACGAAGCAGGTGTGTGTGGCGCTGCGCGGCATTGCCTGTTGCAGGTGAGCCAGGTACAGTTGACGGGACGGTGGCAGTGGCGACGCGAGCCATCTAGGCGACGCGCATATGCGCTGACTCAGGCAAAACGCTGCTAATCACGGCCCAAATCTCGTCAGTACCCCCCCCCCCCCCCCCCCCCCCCCCGCGTCAAATCGCATCAGGGTGGTACGCGACACTAGTCTTTGTCATCAGGGCGAGTACACTGTCTTAAATATCAGTGTTAACCAAATGAACACTGTTTCGGCTAAGGGTGCCTCAGAAAACAACTTTTAAAAACAAGGGTGAACACCTAAACCCACCCTTATAGTAAGGGCCATAAAGGTGTTTTACCCTGATATCGAGAGGCCTGCCCTAAAGGCTAACCCACTGTAGCCTACACAGCAATAACACATGTACAGTGTTTGACACACCCCCATAGGCAAAGTGGGGGAGAGCAAGGGGTCACAAGACCAGTCAAGAAAGGCAAGCAAGCCCAGGGTGGATCACAACGTCACCACACATTCTGAGCACAAGCAAAGAGCCACAAGGCCAGTTCACATGCAGAGGCATATATGTAGTACAAGCATCACAATGGTCTATATCTAGCAAGTATGCAGGTATAGATCACAGTACAGGCAAAGTCTACAACAAGTGAGGAAAAGTGGGCACAAGCCCTAACAAAGTGCAGAAACGCTGATGATCACTAGGCGGAAGTGCCTTGGTGAATATATCAGCAGTGTTGGCCTGAGTGGCCACGTAACGCAGACGAAGCTGACCACGCTGCTGCAACTCTCGAGCCAGAAAATACCGCACAGCGATGTGCTTCGTTGTGTGCTCCAGTCTGTGCTCCTCACACAAGGCAATGGCAGCCTTGTTGTCAACGTACAGCACTGGAGGAGAACGAGGCCGCTCTCCCAGGTCGGTCAGCAGGTAGGTGAGCCAGCGTAACTCCTGAGCAGCCATGGCTGTGGCGTAGATCTCAGCCTCACAACTGGAGCTGAGAACTGAAGACGAACGTGTAGAACGCCAAGAAACTGAGCCAGAGCCAAGACTGAAGGTGTAACCCTGTGACGACCGCTGTGTAGCCTGGTCGTCAACCCAAGAAGCGTCTGAGTGCCCAGTGAGAACAACTGGGCTCCCTCCTCCAAGCACGAGCCCCATGCCCGATGTACTGCACAAGTAGCGCAATACCCTCTTTGCAGCATCCCAGTGCACCTTTCGGTGCCTACCAGGAGCCACGTAGCGGGCCAGAAGGCCAAGAGGGTACGCTAGGTCAGGACGAGTGCAAGTCATCAGGTACATGAGGCAACCAACTAGCTCTGGGTAAGGACCACTCGGCTCTACGGACTCATCCGAAGGCAAAGCTGAGAGCGAGTGACCTATAGCCAGAGGAGTGGCCTGTGCTGAGGACCAGGTGAAGCCGAAGCGCTGAAGGACCTGCTGCACCATGTGTGACTGAGTCAGTGTGATGGTGCGGCGTGCTCTGTCCCGGGTGATCTGCAAGCCAAGGTAGCTGCGCAGTTCACCCAGGTCTGTGCACGTGTGTCTCTTCTGCAGTTCGAACTTCACGTGGGCGAGAGCCTCAGTGTCAGCAGTGGCAAAGACCAAGTCGTCGACGTATACGAGGATGTAGAACGGCGGCAGCGAAGTGTCGGTGCGCAGAAACAGTGACGGGTCAGCAGTAGAAGGCGCGAACCCAAGAGCCGCAACTGTAGTCCTCAGTGTGTCGTGCCACTCACGTGGCGCCTGGCGGAGACCGTAGACTGGCCGCCGGAGGCTCCACTGGGTACCAGGAGGAAACGACCCAGTGAAGCCAGGAGGGCGGCGCAACCAGATCTCCTCGTGCAAGTTGCCCTGCAAGAAAGCTGTGCTGAAGTCAAGAGAGTGAAGCTCGTAGTCACGCTGAGCGGCAACGTGCAGCAGTACCCGAAGAGTGATCATCTTCGGGGTGGGGGAGAAGGTCTGGAAGAAGTCGACTCCCTCTCGCTGACTGAAGCCTCGGGCAACGTAACGAGCCTTGAAGACAGGCGGAGAACCCGGCGGCCGCTTCACCCTAAAAATCCACATGCCACTGACGATGTTCGTCCCAGGAGGGGGAACGTCGTCGACGTAAGTGCCAGTGGACTTATGGGATGCCATCTCTGCGTCCATGGCTGCCTGCCACTGAGAGGAGTAGGGACCCGCGATCGCCTCAGCGTAAGATCGCGGGGTAGGGATGTCTATAGCATCCGGGTCTCCCTCAGGGGCAAGCAGCATGGCTACGAGATGAGGCGCAGCGGCTGCAAGACACTCAAGGTCCTCGTGCCTGTCCTCAAGGACGTCCGTGCCAAGAGCACACTCACCCCCGACGGACGGAGGACAGACAGACTCAGAATCAGCAACAAGGCTAGCAGCGTAGTCTAGATGACAGGCAGCAGCAAAGTCAACAAGCTCAGCGACCAAGGCAGACGCAGCAGAAGACTCAAACGAGGGGTCAGTGACAACAGTGGCTAGCAGACGCGTGACAGTAGGGTGCTCAGCACGAAACCGGTCAGACTCTCGGTCTGGAACGTGAGGCAAAGACGACGCAGGAGGGGACGGCAGAGGAACAGACTGTGGAACAGAGGAAAGATGACGGACGACAAGGTGCGTGCCGGGGACAGTCGGCGAACTCGAACGCGGGACACGACGAACGGTGCGACCAGAGCGAACTGGCGAGACAGGACGCGACGCAGGCTCACGACGCTCAGTAAGACCTCCTGACTGCTCAGTGTAAGGAGAAGGAGCAGGAAGCGGTGAGTCAGGCAGGAGGGGAAGACCGGTAGAAGACGGAAGACTAAGAACCTGGCGAAGGATAGAGTCAGGCGGCAGCAGAGACGACGGAGACGGCGGAGCGAAGAACAGGCGCGACTGTGTAGTGCCGCCAGCACCAGCAGCTCCAGCACCTATAGCAGCTCCTGTACCTCCAGTAGCTCCACCACCCCCAGCGGCAACTCCTCCAGGACAGTCTCCACCAGCAGCAGCGCCTCCAGAACCAGCACCCCCAGTCGCAGTGTCCCCAGCAGGAGCACCCTCAGACACAGCACCACCAGCCCCAGCAGCTCGAGTACCAGCGGTACGAGCACCTCCGGGACCAGCGACGTGGGCACCCCCAGGAGACAACAAACCAGCACCACTCTCAGCACCAGTGACGTGAGTGGAAGCACCGCCAGGAGCAGAGTCCCGAGCTACAGGAGCGCGACGCTGACGGCGACCGTACCAGTCGCGCAGCTGCTGGGAGGTGAGAGGCACACGCGTACGAAGGCGGCTACTCCAAGGAGACCGCGCAACAGCAGACTCAGAACCCTCAGCGCCAGCACCCGCAGTAGCTCCAGAACCTCCAGCACCAGCGGTAGCTCCAGCAGCTCCAGAACCTCCAGCTCCAGCGCCACCAGAGCCAGGACCTCCAGGCTCAGCACCCCCAGGCTCAGCACCCCCAGACCCAGCACCCCCAGGCTCAGCACCCCCAGGCTCAGCACCCCCAAGCTCAGCACCCCCAGGCTCAGCACCCCCAGACCCAGCACCCCCAGGCTCAGTACCCCCAGGCTCAGCACCCCCAGTCGCAGCACCCCTCGCAGGACCAGAGTCAACAGCTACCTCGACAGGCTCGACCGGGTCTACCTGGGAAACACCTGAGGGAGCAGGACCCTGGGGAGGAAGGGGGTCTACCGAAGGGACACCTGGGGTGAGGAAGAGCGGCGGGGGGGGAAGCGGCGCAGTGCGGTAGGGGAAGAGACGGTAAAAGGGTACCGACTCGTCAAAAGTGACGTCCTGAGAGGCAAAGACACGGCGCGAGGTGGGGTGGTAAAACTGCCAGCCAGGCGCGTCAGGGACAAAGCCAAGGAAGACGCAGGGAACGGCACGGGAGGAGAGCTTGTCCGCGGACGTATCGCGAACAAGGGCTCGACATCCCCAGACACGGAACACCGACGCATCGCCAACCTTCCCCGTCCAACGCAGTGTGGGCGAGGTCTCCGGAGCAGAGACACGGGGCCAAAGGTTGAGCTGATGCGCAGCGTACCGCACTGCAAACGGCCACAGGAAATGGGGGGCAGCCGCATGGATCATGGAGGTACGAGCGACCTCCATGACTAAACCAATGCGGCGCTCAGCAACCCCATTCTGCTGTGGGGAGTCCGGAAGAGTGAAAGTCTGGCGGATGCCGTGCTCCGCACAGTAGGCGGCCAGGAGGTCGGAGGAAAACTCACCACCCCTGTCAGAGTGCAGACGCAGGACGGGAAAGTCCGACTGGAACCGCTGGCGGAGCTGGAGACGAGCGGCGCGGATCCAAGGGATCAAAACATCAGGGACCTCACCCTTGGTGCACAGGTGCGGTCACCTGTGCGGATGACGTACGGGTAGGGACCCCCACCCCCAGACCCCCCACGCTGAGAGTACCACTCACGGAGCTGCTGGGGCGAGGGAGTCTCGCCGGGACGCTGCTGCGGCTGCCTCTGGCCACCTCCGAACCCCCCACGCTGCACCGCTCCACCGCGCCCGCCACCCGCTCCACCGCCGCCACTACTGCCACCACCTCCCCCACCACCCCCACCACCGCCGCCGCCACCACTCCCTGTACCGCCACTGACCCCCCCACCACCCGCGCCACTCCCACTTCCGCCACCACCCCCGCCCCCCCCACCCCCTCCACCGCCGCCGCCCCCGCCTCCACCTCCACCACCCCTGCCCCCTCTGCCCTTGCCGCCCTTGCGCCTCCCACTAGGAGTAGACGCGGCCC